GCTAGACAGCAGTTTGCCAGTGATATTTGGATATTGGTGCTGAGCAGCGGATTGGACATGATAGCCTAAATGTCCCAGCCCAACTGTAGATCTACGTAAAATGCAGAAACTTCCTAGATCTTTATTTGGTATGAATCTGTTCTATAATTTATAGTCCTCATTTAGTTTCAGAAGCCATCACCCTTATGTATATCAAATAGTGAAAAGATCACCCAATGGATAGCAAGCAGTAGAGTAAGGAGTAGGCTTCCTTGAGATTTGTGTGTGTTAGATCAGACATCCCCGACCTTTTGAGCACCAGGGACCGGTTCTGTGGAGAGGTTTTTCCGCGGACCAGAGGGGGCGTGGTTTCATGTACTGTCTGCATCCCGTGGATGGGGGTTTGCTTGTTTGTGCGACCCGGTTTTTGGCATGCTGCGGCCCGGTGCCAGTCCATGGACCGGGGTTTGGGGACCCGTGTTAGATTATAAGGAAAGTCATGAATACTTATTGATAAATCTAATTGGTTCTGGATCTCTCATCATATATCCCTGCCTCTTTTTTGTCAATATCTACATTGGCTGGATACTAAGAGCATTATCAGTTTAAATTGATGGCTGGTGCTGTAGCATTCCCCCCCCCCCCCCACACACACACTTATTGCCTATTCTGCTGAATTAGTTGTAGCCAGAATTCTAGAAGTTTCAAACACTTAAAATACTTTTTGTTGGACCTTTATGAAGCTGGTTAAAGCTCATTGTCAATTAGTCATTGTAAATTTAATCTGAAGTAATGCTAGTATTGTTTGTATTATACTGCATTAGGAAATATCCAAGAATGCATTGTTTTACTGTGCGTGCTTGATATTGTATACAGTTTTGAACCACCTGTATTGCATTTAATTAGAAGTGCACACTAATCAGAAGTACTACTGCTACATTTCCACTGGCTCCAGTCCAAATTAGAATTCCATCCAGGACCAGTACTAAGAATAAATGGGAAAGGTCAAGTGCCCAATACATATTAAACATCAGTGCTTCAACCTAGAATTAAAGTTATAACTGTAGCTTCAGAGTGCAATGAGATTAGAAATCCAGAAAAGCATTCCTGAGGATGAATGATTGGATGGCATAGGTGATATTTTTTTTCTTTTTTTCAGCATACAGGATCTGGTGACCAAGGAGGCGGGCAATCCCTCACGTCACCTGGAAGCTGCCTAGAGGACTTCCGATCAGCACCCTTTATTGAATGCCAGGGTCAGCAAGGAACATGTCACTTTTTTATTAATGAATACAGTTTCTGGCTAGTTACAGTGAACAATGAGACACAGTTTTCATCATCTCCTCTCTCAGGGACTATCAAAGATGAACAAGAACAACGGCAAAATATTGGCAGATGTCAGGTTTGCATGAAATATGCCTAGTGGACATTGAACCTTTTTTGAACAAAAATAAACCATTTTTTTCTCATCTCGGTGCTGTGTCATTATTACATCTACAAACTGATCAGCAATTGTGAGTTGTAAAGGCATATTTAGATGGCAACCAGGAAGTAAAGAACTGCATAAATCAGAGATGAATACCAGCTTTGTAGTTCAATTGATTTTGCTCATTCATAATTTTATTTAGGTTTGAGGATCCAAGTGATAGCATCATTAACTTATAACCATTTTCTTTCCTACTTTAGTTAGGTTTGTTTTTCCACAGACAGACAGAAATGCTTGTACTAGAAATTCCACTTCACTTAAAATATTTTTTCCCTACAACAGTGAGAAAGTAGAGAAAAGAAGTATGTATTTTGTCTTTTCAGTACCCAAGAGATATATCTATGTATCTATAGTATTTCAAATCTGTATATATACCAGTGATAAAATTGTCTGCCTTGTTTAAAGACACATTTATTATATTTTACACTTTTAAGGAACACTGGAAATGTAATACTGCAATACAGATAGTCCTTTACTCACCATCATTTGTTTGGTGACCAATCAAAATTACAATGGCATTGAAGAAAATGACTTAGGACTGGTTTTCACACTTACGACCATTGTAGAATCCCTATTAATCAAAATTTGGGCACTTGAAAACTGGCATGTATTTATCAAAGTTGTACTTTCTGGGGTCATCTAATCACCATTTTTAAGCTTCCCATCTGATTTTCAACAAGCAAAATCAGTGGGGGGAAATTCACATTTGCTTAACAGCTGCATGATGCACTTAACAACCACAGTGACTCACTTAACAACTGTGGCAAAAAAGGTCATGAAATGGGGTGCAACTTACTCAAGGTCTTGCTTAGCAATGGAAATTTTGGGCTTCAAAGGTGGTCGTAAATCAAGGACTATGTGTAGTCAGTATTCTTTTTCTTAGAAATCATCTGTATCTGGCCCGGACAAAGCAAAACCAAACGTTTTCTGAGCAAAATGTGACAGTGAGTTTGTTTAGACACAATAATTTGTTGTCCTCACCCTTTTCATTTCATAATTTAAAAAAAAATGAAGGTAGAGTTGCTTTCTGAGAAGCTCTAAAGCAGAAGTTAAAAGCTTACATTTTGATGGCAAAATATATGATTAATTCAAGTGTAATGTTTCAAGTTGTTTTTGAATTAATTCCGTAAAATGTTTTAGCTTTAGTTTTAACCATCTTAAGTAAAACTAGCAGACTCTCTGCAAACTATAATACAGTAGACAGCAATATCATCTCAGTATCAGGACATTTTAAAAGCTGGACCTTTCCGGAAAAGTAACATTTTCATTTTGCAGTTACATGCCCAAAAATGTAAGCACTCCTGATTAAATTGTATGTTTCAATGGAACTGAATAGAAGCTGTTCACTTTACAACCCAAAGCATAATATTAACTCCTTCTGCAGGCTTGGTCTACATACTATTCAGGGCAGGTGTGGAAGTTAAGGCATCTTCCCAGTTCATATTTTATGACATCTATTCAGTGGAAACACCAGCTTCCAAAGTTTCCTGTAACTAATTTAGAATCTTCCTATTCCTTTTCTGGATTTTTTCCACTCCTACATTATTCTTCTACCTCAGAGCTCCAACCAATAGTATTCAGGAAAAAGCAAGTAATATATTTCTTTTAAAAACACAAATCCTACATATTTCCCGTTTATCTAGAAAGTGAAAGAGAATACTGAATAAACAATCTGATAAAATATGTGACACTGCCCAAAGCTATTATGCAAGTGGGTGTATATATAAATAAATATTGTTGCATCTTACATTTCTGCATATATGAAGCAGGGCACAAAAGGCTACATGCCACAAAAAAACAAAATTTACATTGTCCTTCCATTCAGAAAGCAGAAATAACATTTAAATACTCATTTCTTTGTTTGCTTTTTTATTACACTGAAAAAATTCTGACTTCTAATAGTTTCTGTTTAAAATAAATATACATATAATACAGAATGAATCATATTAGTTTTTCAATTGATAATATATCTAGTTTTATTTAAATGCATTAATTAAATAATGTATCATTGATTGTTAACAGTAATCTATTTAAGTGACTAAACTAGTAGACCAGAGAAACGCAGTGGATGTAGTATACTTAGATTTCAGTAAGGCATTTGACAAAATAGACCACAACCTACTAATTGACAAGCTAGAAAAAGGTGGAATAGACCAGTGTTTCTCAACCTTGGCAATTTTAAGGCATGTGGACTTCAACTCCCAGAATTCCACAGCCAGCATTGCTGGCTGTGGAATTCTGGGAGTTGAAGTCCACATGCCTTAAAATTGTCAAGGTTGAGAAACACTGGAATAGACAACATCACCACCAGATGGATCTGTAGCTGGATAACAAACTGTACTCAACGAGTAGTCCTCAATGGCACTACATCCACATGGAGAGAAGTAAGCAGTAGGGTACCACAAGGTTCTGTCTTAGACCCAGTACTCTTCAATATCTTCATCAATGATTTAGATGAGGGAATTGAAGGGGAACTCATCAAATTTGCAGATGACACCAAACTGTCAGGAGTAGCCAACATCCCAGAAGACAAACTCAGGATCCAAATAGATCTTGACAAACTCGAACAATAGGCCCTATCCAACAAAATGAGTTTCAACGTGGAGAAAAGCAAAGTCCTACACTTAGGAAGGAAAAAAAGTCACGAATATAGATTGGGCGAGATCTGGCTTAAAAACAGTAAGTGTGAGAGGGACCTTAGAGTCCTAGTGGACAATCACTTGACTATGAGCCAGCAATGTGCAGCAGCAACCAAAAAAACTAATACAATCCTGGGTTGTATAAACAGATCAAGATCACGTGAAGTAGTAGTACTGCTTTACAAAGCCCTAGTAAGACCATATCTGGACATTTTTAAGAAGAGACTAGACAATCACTGAGATGCTGTAGGTTTTCCTGCTTAAGCGGGAGGCTGGACTAGAAGACCTCCAAGGTCCCTTCCAGCTCTATTCTGTTCTATTCATAGAACTTTCATGTGACATTTTATAACATTATTCAATCCATAAATAGAATATTGCAATACCAAGGAGTTTTTTTCCTCCGAGAATAAATCTTTTCCTAACAGTCGCTTTGGGTGAGGGCATGGGTAGGGAGGAATAAATTCCTGAACCTTATTTTGCAAAACAGTAGCAACATAGAAAAAACTTGTATTTCATAACAAATGTAAAAAAATAATAATAATCCTGCATATTGTTTTCATGTAAAATGGAGTCAACCTGGATGTTTGTGCATTTTTGGCTACTCATATTTTGACAATTTATTCTAGCCCTACACACCAATATCATGAAAAATGTGTTGTTCCCATGGTAACTTCAACAATCAGTTAATACTTTAAATACAAAATATTTCATGGCTGTTTTACAATTTAACTTCAAACTGAAAATATAACAATACTCAATATATTTCCTATTTTATACTTAAAATTAAAATTCCATTTTAATTAGGGTTCAAGGGTTTTAAAATAATTGTATTGCTTTTAAACTGATACAATTTGAGTTTTTAACATTTATTTTAAAATATTTTTTGTCTGATGTTAAAATATTCATCTAGAAACACAATGGACACTTGGAAGCATTGGGGAAGTTCATTCAAATCCCATTGCTTCTCTGTAGGATGGTCCTCCATGTCCGTGAGTCCAAAGCTCACTGCCAAATAACAGGCCCTCTTTGCATATCGTTGAAGCATATTATGGAAGAGCCATGAACAGTTCTGGTTCTGATCTGAAGCTCAAAATCAGTAAATAAGATGTAAATAACCAAGTTGCAACAACAGAGCTCAGTCGCAGCCCACTGATTGTTCATTAACAAAGTATGTAGACAACAGTATTATGAGCATTGAAAATATAAAAATACCAAAAACATTCAAGAAAATATGATTTTTAATATACACTTTATCGGGGAAGGCACTGAGTGATCTCAAGTAGAAAATGTTACAATGGAATAAAAAAAGAAATGATATAAACTGAAATGTGAAGCGTGGAGAGTTTTTTTTATCAGAAGAAGTTAAATCACAAATGAGTGATGATAAATATTACATGGAATATTTTATAGCTGTGGCAGAACTCCCAATTTGCTTTTTTCCCTCTTCCACAAAATATTAGTTTCTCTATTTTGGGAGGGCCATGAGGAATATTCCAGGGGAAGTAAGAAAGATATGGGATGGATATCGAAATAATTTATATTTACAAATTCATAATAATTAAAAATATAGTAAGTTATACTGTTGATGTTTCTTATAAAAAAAAGTTAATAAGGCTTAATGGGCTGTTCCCAAATTAATGTAAATTCCAAAATTTATTTCAAATGAGACTGAAGGAAGAATTCAAAGTTTTCAAACTTTGGTTTCTTTAACATAATAAAAAAATACAAATACATCTTGTATACAAAAATAATTAGCTAGCTACAATTATAGCTACAACATGTTCATGTTATGCAGTTACTTTTTCATCCATACTAAAATTGTAGGATGTTGTCATATTCTAAATGTGCAACTTGCAGAAAAGCATTTCCATAGTAAATCATTGTATTCTTCAATTTCAGTAATTATTTCTGCATGGAGATCATAAAAGTGGGTCATGTGTTTCAACAACCTGACCAAATCTATTTTTAATTCTAATCTTTATTCTGTAAACTTTTATTCAAGTTAGTAAAGTTTACAGAATAACAAAATTCTTAAGATACCAAAAGCAATTCATTGAAAAGAACTAATATATATAAGGTAGCTATAGAATTTTAGATAGTATGGTGAATTATTTAAGATGTTTAGTTTTTGAAGAAAGTTTTTGCATTTCAGTTTTAAATTTGGTAGTCCATGTGCCAAGCAGGTGTCTTTCTCACTCACAGATAGCTTCAGATAGCCTCCATGAAACATATTTCGTGAAATAGAAATGGCTTAAATGAACAATATCCACCATGTCTTGACAGCTATGAAGAGCCCTTTATATCCATACTTTAGACTACTGCCACCTCTCAAACCTATTAAGTCTCTGCCTTCTGAGTTCCTCAGCTGATAGTTCTTCTGGTGAAAGCCAGAATCCATATGGCCTTCTTTCGCTACTGTAATGCCTTGTATTGCTTCCTGTAAGAAAAAAAAATGTTGAAGACAAATTTAATATACATTCTTCTAACATTGTATCAAACACATTTATTTTTATAGTTAATATATTAAACTGAGAAGTACATAGGTTTTATCACTTGAAATGAAATGTGAACATGTAACTCTTTTAGAATCCTTTTACAATATGATCTACACTGATTTGAAACTTCCAGTCCTTGGATATAATCCAAAACCTATGCATATAGTGAAACATCTACACACAGTGCTTTTCTTCTGTATTCAGAAAGACCTGAAGAAGCCCAACGAGAGACTGTGTTGTCAGGAATAATATTTTTCTATTGTTTTAAGACCTTTCCATGGGGAACAATGAAACTGATTTTTTTGATCATACAAGTTCGTTTTTGTTTGTTATTTTGAAAAAAAGAAATGAACAGAAATTGCTAACTAAATTGCAATGATAGGTCATAGCACAATTCAATAACAAGCACCCCAAAAATAGTATAAAGAACTTGTAGGGAAGATAAAGCTGCTCAATTATTGTGGTTAATAATTGTAAAAACAGCTGTACATAGGAACAACCCATACAGTAGATTAAATATTGTGTTTTTACTTGGAATTTGGTGGCTTTAAAAAGGACCATTTGAATTTTTGGAAGGTACAACTAACTAATTGAAAGACCTAACAAGGAAGCTAAACTAGTTCCTTCAATAGCAAATTCTGAGGATAAAACAGCAGTGAGAACTGCTATCATTATGCACTCCATTTTAAGCACTTCTAAATTCTAGGATTTGGAAGTCAAATGCATAAGAATGCTAGGTTGGGGAAGACCGAATTACCGTATGTATTTCCCTAGCCTCTCAAATACTATTGGAAATGGAGTGCTACACAGTATTAACCTGTCATCCTTTTAACAATTGTCATGTATAACAGAATTAGATGAGTTACCCTACTGTGGTCATCTTATGTTTCCTATAGCTGCCATTTAAACTAAACTTAAACATTAAAGCCAGAGGTTATACACTTTTAAGAAAGTGTTAAGGTGTCATTAGCATTTACTAATGACACTTTAGCACTTTCTTAAAGGTGTATAACTTCTGGCTTTAATGTTCCCAGAATGGGTTTCAATGCAACCAGTCTCAAAATAAGAACACAATATGCAATGTAAGAAATCAAAATAGTGACTGTTCACTTTTTTTTTCTTGGTGATTGAGTTCACTTTCTTTCTGGTGTCAGAGGCCTGAAAAAATACAGGTCAAAGTAAAGTTTTCTCCCTTTGGGTCTTTCTTCCTTTGAGATAAAAAAAATCAATGCTTCCTGATTATTTATATTGTCATTGTTCTCATTATATAGAGAGCCCTTTCGAAACTGGTATTATCCAGGACCAATTAAACAGCAACCCTCAACAGTTTCATCCAGCACACTGATAAAAGATGTACTTTGTAGCAGTGTACTGGACTTCGATGATTGGGACAAACAATTCTCTCTTAATGGCAATAATTCTGACCATAATGTGGAAGCAAAAATGGAGAACATATGAAGATGTCACTCATCACCAGTAACTATCTCAGAACTATTCTCATTTTTTTTTCAAGAGAATGAAATTGTGCTTCTGAGTAAATAAAAAAACCTAGCATACATTTAGTATTTGAGGGGCTGCCACAAAGAAGAGGGGGCACGCTATTTACCAGAGCACCAGAGGGAAGGACGAGAAACAATGGTTGGAAACTGATCAAAGGGAGAAGCAACCTGGAATTAAGGAGAAACTTCCTGACAGTGAGGACAATCATCTTGCCTCCAGAAATCATGGGCGCTCCATCACTGGAGATTTTTTAAAAGAGGCTAGACAGTCACTTGTCTGAGATGGTATAGGGTCTCCTGCTTGAGCAGGGGGCTGGACTAGAAGACCTCCAAGATCCCTTTCTGCTCAGCTCAGCTCAGCTCAGCTCTGCTCTGCTCTGCTCTGCTCTGCTCTATTCTATTCGTATATATGAGACATTTTTATAGCTTTTAAACAAATTAACAGTTATTGCTCCAGTAATCAGGAATTATATCTCAGGTCCTGCCTCACCTCTTCCAGCAGATGTCTCCAAAGGTTCACAGGCAGCACATTAGAGAAAGTAGGCCAAACCCCAGTCAACAAAACATTCCGCATAGTAAGCAGAATTAGGGCTATTTTGAAACAGATGGGGTCTACGGAAGCTGTAACTCTATTATAGACTTGTTTATTGTCTGCCTTATTTGAAGCCCAGGGATTATTTGCAAGTATCTAGCATTTTCTGTGTCACTCTGGATTTCATCTGAGGCAGAATAGAGTGAAAAGGATGACTACACACATACGCAGACACACAGAGAGACACTTTTTATACTAATCCACCATTGAATTCACAATTTAAACATGCTATTATGTGGTTTATGCAGCAAAGGATTTTTCTGGAAAGATCAGCAATGTAACAAACATCCTAAGTCTGATTCATAATAGGATTTAGTCAGCTTGAAAAAGCACAGAAACATACTTTTAACTTTGCAATCTGGAAATGAAATATATTTACAAATGATTGACATTTAAATTAAGAATTTTAAAATAATGGATGGCTTAAAAAGATCTCCTGGGTATTCTCAAAAATTGTAGGGTATGGCATTCCTAAAAAGGTTTTCCCAATCTGGGACTCTTTGGATGTTAGGCTAAAATTCTTATCACCCACGGAATTCAAGGTTGGCATGGAAAAAGTAGTCAAAAAATATCTGAAAGGCACTCAGAAGAGACTGTTGTACAGCTACCATGCATATCCATCCTTATTAAGAATGAGAATTTGAAAAAATAAAATATTTTACAGCTCAAAATGTACTAACCCTTTTTTCCATTTTAAAGGATAGTAGCAAAATAACAAAATATTAAATATGTAGAATGTATGCATTGCAAGTAAAGGAGCTAATACATGTCCAAATTTTAATGCAATCTGGATAGAAGTTAATTGAAGTGCAAATCTCCAAAAGTAAGTTATAATCATTGAAGGAACAGAGAGAATGTGTGTCTTCTCTCTTCAACTGAGTTTATGTTATGTGATAGTGTCCTTCAGATTCAGAGGTCCCCAATTTTGCCTTGTGATCTGACTTTCTCCCTGGACATTAGGACAAATTTGTTATATGGTGCCTTGGTATTTTACTTTGGAGTATTTTAACTTTTTTGTGTGTGTAAATTGGTGCTAACTACCAAGTTACTTATTTAAGATGGGTGGCCATATACAGTTTCTTAATAAATGAATACATTTTAAAAAGGATGCTTCAATAGCAAGAACTAGCAATATTAAGTCACGTGTAAGAGCAGTTATCTTAAGTCTTGTGACTGTCGGGTATACTGGAACTGCCATTTCCAAAATTTCTAGCCAGTGTAAGGAATAATGGTTTGAAATATTGGAAACCTAGAGTCTGTTGGATTGTGAAAAAATAGAGCAGCTTTGTTCTTAAAGAAGAAACTGATCTGACAAGAATGAAAGAAGCCAAACCACAGATGCAAAATAAAGCCAAGAAAATGTTTATATACAACAAAAGCTTCTTTCTTTCTTTCTTTCTTTCTTTCTTTCTTTCTTTCTTTCTTTCTTTCTTTCTTTCTTTCTTTCTTTCTTTCTTTCTTTCTTTCTTTCTTTCCTCTCTCTCTCTCTTTCTTTTTCCAATTAATGTATTTGCTTGGGCACATAATTTTAAATACTTTTTATAATTTTTGATAATTCAGTTGGGCTTCAGCAGATTCATCTAAATTTGAAAGTTAGGAAGAGTTCAGTCTAACTTTGGTTGGTACTTCCAAGGAATACCAGGGCAGTAGGCTAGATAGAGAAGTTGAAAAAAATAGTTTGCAGAAAGGCAGTGGCAAATCACTTCTATATTCCTGACAAAAGCTCCACAAAGTAAGCTTTGAAATCACCAGGAATCAAGTTCAACTTGCATTACTTGCAATACCAAGACATTATTTCATTTGCCCAAATTCAGAAAGCTCCTCTGAATATACTGAAAAGAATACATGACTACTCTTTTGGAAGTGCAGTTGGGTGCAAGTCAGAAGAGGAAAAAGGCAAAAGAAATGAAAAGATGCATTTATGCAATGGGCAGTGGAGGAAACAGGACATAGAATACACATTCAAACTCAGTATATACTCTTTGCTGTATTTATTGCACCCACCCACTTACCTCACAGGCTTCAGTATCATCCTGTTTTAAAATGAAAACCTAAATTACTGATTTGGGGAAATATCATCTCTTTGCCCAGAAGGAATACAAGGGTATGCAGGATGCACAAATAAATGGCTGATGTGGGCACAGAGGGGCTGGAGGGTGGGGGAATTTTACAATTTGTGACCTTCCCTTCCCATTGACTTTCTGGTGAAGCTGACAGGAAAGGTTGCAAAGGACAATCATGTGATTGCGACTATATATTAAAGCAAGTTTTAAGAGTCTTCATAAGGAACAATAAGCTCTGAATGAGACATATACTTAAATTATCAGCAGTAAAGTTTCTACAGATTTAAACTGCTCTTAGGAGCTTTTAAGTTTTTCTAATACAGCATTTTTCTAATACAAAATTACATACCTTCTCCTCACACACTATTATAATCATTTTAGTAGAGAATATTATTTTATTTATCAGTTCTTTGACAACACTGCTGATCTAGGCCTTAGTAGTTTTATTACATGGGACAGGAAATGGAACACAACCTACCAGGAGACGGTACTTAAGTGTTTTTCTAATTAGAGCTTTTCTAAGTCATAGGCAGGTTTTTGCCTCATCA